CATTGTCGACATTAACTATGACTGATCATTATTAATTATTACTATTATTGAACCAATTTTTTTCAAAGTCTATGCTAGTTTAGTTTGTTTAGTTGGACCTCTCTAAATGTTGAGCCTTATCTTCATAAAGTTCAAGCAAATAACTTTGGTCAACTACGGAAATTAGCCTCATAACAAAGCCTTTAGTCATTTAATATGGTGAAATGTTTCTGTGAAAGCTAATACAATGTTTTGTGAATAAACAGTATAAGAACCAGTCCTTAGACTGGTAAATAACCAAAAACTCATTTTACCTCACTGGCTTATCTTGTCCCTTTTGCCCCAAATCTAAGATCCAACTTCTCTACTGTTTCCTTATGTGTTGTGTACTTCTTCCCTCCTTTTAAGTTCCATAGTTCTAAGCGGTAACCTCTGGTGTGGAAAAAATGAAGCCAATGCGGAAGTGCAATATCCTGCAGTTTGTAGAGTGTTGTTTGAGGCTGGAGAAGACACATACAAACCCAGTAAATAAAGCCCATTTTTATAGCAGAAATGAACATGTTAACTGCCTGTTCAAAACACGCCTCAGCTCCAGCTCGCCTGTTGTTAAGTTGACTGAGAGTTAAAGTGAGACATGCAGCATTGCCAGCATGGCGACTGCGGCCAATGGGACTCCAAAGCCCCCTGCAGTAACAGACGGGTAATGTCACTCAGGCTTCTCTCATTAATAGTTAAACAGGGGAAATAACTGATCATGAAAAGAAAATGTTTCTTTTATACTTAGGTAACTTGGGATCCTTTTGATTTTAAGAACAAAAAATGACATACTTTTTTGTATGATGGTGAATCAGAAAACAAATCAAATTGAGTGTATTTCCCTCCATAATGTAAATTTCACATGCTCAATATTTCATTCTTAATGTCAGCTCAACACATACCAACTCTCTCTGGTGTTGTTGTGAAGTTTCACTGAAGTCCAATCAGCTGCAGTGTCCAATCAATAACTGATATCCAGTTAAGAAACATGTCTATTTGTAAAAAGTCTTCTCTAACATCTGCTCTCGTGTATCCTTCAAGACGCCAGGAAGTGCGTTGACTGCTGAAGGCGATTTCCCACAGCGGCCAAAGCTGGTATTGAAGTGTCAATGATGCAATTGAGGTCAAAAAGTGTTTGCATTGGGAAAGAGACGTCTTAAAATCAGCAGATACACTTTTTTTTTGACCAACTTCTCAATATGAACACTTAAATAACCAATTTTTAAAAAATGGTTAGGTGCTGAAAATTGTAAAATGCAATTTAAGCCAAATTCAGAGATATTTTTGTAGACATAATAAACGCAGATCAGAGCCACAGGACTGCCACTCCAAGTTCGCAAGTTCTATGGGCTCGCTAACGCAGGAGATCCGGGTAGGCTATGGGCCACCGAGCAGCTTTTGCTAGAATGAACGGGGTTCCACCTCCAATGCTGTATACATTAAGACATCCATGATGTCCTGGCTCCTCAGATATCCCTCTCTCCTCAATCTTCCTGAACAATCCTTAAGAGATGCAGCTAGAAGACTAACATATTAAACAAGCAACTTAGTATTTTAGGTGTTAGTTATCTTACAAGACAAACTAATCGTCTATAGGTCAGGAGTCTATTAGTTGCGCCATAACAACAGTTTCAAACAACAAGCCAGCCATTTTACCACACAGATTAGCCCAGGGAGTCTGGATGAATTAGCTTAGGTTATCCACTGAGCAGTATTCCGCTACTTTAGCTAGCTAGCAGTTCATCATTAGTCAGCAAAACAAAACAAAAACCAAAATGACTTCCAGTCAGCATCTGTCATATTCCTATTTGGCCAGACGCTGTGCTGGAGTCTTCAAGCCTCTAATTTCTTGGCTACTCTGCATTTTTTGAAACAGTAGGCCACTTTGTTGTCATCAGCAGTCTGTAGTTTTATGCTAACATTGACATTATTATAGTTGGAGGGGAGCTGAAAAGAGGCACGGCCTTCAGAGTGAATCACACTTTCATCGTTGGGATTTTTGCAACAACATGTGTCTAATCTACATTTATTAAAGCTCAGGAAACTAGCGTTAAAGAGTAATAATGTGTAGGTGCTGTCTTTACGTATGTCTTCTTTGCCCACGATGCAAATAAAAGGTTTATGTATTGATCTAATTTAAACCACTGGAAAATCTTATTGATGAGCAACATTGATTGAATTTCACTGTATCCCTCATTATCATAAAAATGCCAGTGCATTTCACTCTAAAGCCAGAGAGAGCCATTAAACAAGGTTTTCTGCTTTGCTAGAAGAGTAGAAAACAGTTAACAATCTACAGGCTTGCCCATCTGCAACTTAAATTGTGGTTGTGTGTTCAGCGGCAAGGATATAAAACACTCTTGTATGTAGCCCAGACTTAAAGATTGACTATAAAACTCAAGAGGTACCCCCTGATTCCCCATTTATCTTCCAACTCCTTGACTGATATTATCTAGAGCCTGGCAATGCAATTACAGCCGCCCTGCCATCAATAGTGTGTTTCAGCAGTGCAAGCATGACAGAAATCCACTTATTCCATCTGGTATTGATGTGAATTTACTGTTTCATTACAGCAAGAGCTAAGAGAGCAGCAAATGATCACAACGAATATCACAACGAATGAATATCTTATTATGGGACCTTAAAGCAAGTTTAAAGTAACAGCAGATAAATAATGCAACAGATACAGTGCGTGATCATGCACAGATGCTCAGCCCTTACAAAGAAAGCAATAGATAACGTGTGCATTGTCCAGATATGTATGAGATGCAGCAGGAGAGTTAAAATTTGTAGTCCTTGAATGTGCAGGGATGCTGCTGCGGGTTTCCTATAGCGGTGTAATTATTAGTTCTTTCATCACACACACTTACGAGTGTTAATATTATATTTTTATTAACCTGACTGCACACAACATGGATCTTTTCTTTTAGTATGTTGAAGATTAGATTAGTTATTATTTTATTCTGGATTGGTCTTGGGGGAAATCTCAAAAGCCAGATGTGCACAGCAGGTATTTGTAGTCAAACAATAAAGTATAACTGGTTTTAAAATGACTTACTCTAAATGACCATTTTGTAAATTTAAAGGTTCCCTTGGCAGAGATGATGAAAACATTGGTAGAAGTGTAATGTAATATTCATTATTACAATGCAGTTGGTGTATTATCACTTGAAATGTAAGAAGTGGTGTTTTTTTTCTCTTTCATGTTGAATTCACATTTTCCCACTGTAGCTCAGAATAGACCATCAAACATCATTCTGGAGGGCCTTTGTGTGACCACTGATACATGTTTGGAAGGAGAGAACGTGGTGGGGAGTTGATTTTTCTGTCCCCTTGGGGGCGGAAACACAAGCTAAAGATATAATACAGTCACATAATACGCTTTTATGTTGACAACGGTTGCTTGTTGCAGGAGTAGTATGGATTTGGTTATTGTTCTTGACCAGCTAGTGAATTTAACTCCAACATACATACTTTGTTAAGCTTTAAAGGGGACATATTTTGAAAAATCCACCTGTACAGTGTTTTTCAACATCTATTTGGGTAACCTGAGTGTCTACCGACCCACAAAAGGTGAAATAAACCCATCCAGTTCTTTGTTTGTGATCTGCACAAGTCTTACAACACAGAGAAACATTTTCCGTTTCAAATTTGCTCTCCATGTGACATCACAGTTGGATTCTGGTAAAAAAAAAAAAAAAAAACCCTCCCCTCCCCTGATATCTCCACCCGTCGACTCCATCCCCAGCCTAGAGCAAAACTCTTGCGCAGGTCCGCCATTTTTATTCCCACTAGCGAAGGAGTAACGTCTACTGGGAAAACTTAAAGGGGGCTCATTGCATTTAAAGAGACACACACACCAAAATGGAGTGTTGTGAGAGAGCTGGTTTATACAGGGTCACAAACCTCCTCTGGTGCTTGATTCATGTTATATTTTGGCCAAAGCACAGCACAGATGTTTCATTTAGATCACAGGGGACTGTTTGAAAAGGTGGAAAAGGGCAGTAATATTTAAAACTGGTTCATCTGCAAGTGTACTGTTGGTCAACAGACCTTTTTCACACCTGTAAACGGATGATATGCTGCTGCAAGAAACAAGGCAATAGGAGCCTAGAGACTAAACCAAAACAGTAAATTTTAAGCGGGCAAGAGAGACACAACAAATGAAAGATGCCTAAAGTCTTTGACAAGTGAAAGGCAACTGCAAAGTTTGTGGAATTTGGAGGTTCACTTGTGTACAAATTTATAGAAAGTTATTTGATCCACTGTAGAAAATGAATGAGCACAGATTTTATTTGTTTGCTCAGAATTTCAGTTTTGTTTGTAAGATTTACTTTCAAATAAAAATGTATTCTAATATTTGAAAAAAAAAATTCAACAGATAAGTTGGATATTATTTAAGAAAAAAATATTCTTTCCTCACTCAACATTAAACAGTGAATATTAATAATCTCTTGGAAGTATATGTAGTACAGTATGAAAATGAAACTCAAGCAAAGCACAACTAATTCTGATTGAGAAATTCAGCATTGTTTCATACACAAGTTCATGTTACTGTTTCCCTCTGATGCAGCAAGAACTTTCTCTCTGCCAGAGTTTGCTGCAGTTCCTTAAATTGATAAATGAGGAAACGCTGGACTGTTTTTAGGGATGAGCCTAACAAACTGTGACTCTGAGAGCAGTATTGATCAGGGAAATGCTTGCGTCAGGTGCAAACTTGGAGCTTCACCAACTTCATCCTCTCTAATTTGTACTCTGGCTCATAGTCAGACCTCAGGTCCGACAGTTAAAGTGCTTTACACCACTGGCGTACACCACCAGCACCTCTTTTTGGCTCCTTTGTCTGCTTTGTATTTGCTGCCTGTTAATTTACTAAAGTTTCTCTAAACTTATCCTCCTCTCATCTAATCTCATCTCCTCTCCTCTCCCCAACCCTCACCTGTCTCTCCTGCTTCCTCGTCATACCCCCACCCTCAATACCACAGGTGTAACACTGTCTCAAGCCTGAGGGGGGCAGAATGCCGGAGCAGAGCAACGACTATCGCGTGGTGGTGTTTGGAGCAGGAGGAGTGGGGAAGAGCTCCCTGGTGCTACGGTTTGTAAAGGGCACCTTCAGGGATACTTACATCCCCACAGTGGAGGACACCTACCGCCAGGTGATCAGCTGTGACAAGAGTGTGTGCACCCTCCAGATCACTGACACCACGGGGAGTCACCAGTTCCCGGCCATGCAGCGCCTGTCCATCTCTAAAGGCCACGCCTTCATCCTGGTCTACTCCATCACCAGCAAACAGTCCCTGGAGGAGCTCAAACCTATTTACCAACAGGTAGGTGTGTGTGTGTGTGTGTGTGTGTGTGTGTGTATAAAATCACATTATACTTGACATGATTTTCCTTTTTTTCATTGGTCTTCCAGAGAAAGAGCACAGTTTGAACTGCTGAAGTGACTTTTAGATATTTACAATCTCCATTTTGCTCCCTTAAGAATTTTATATTGCATTAATTTCATTTAACAGAAATAATCCAATTTAACAAAGCCCAAACACAGAATATCAATCAATATGTTGCACAGTGAGTTTCACAGCACGACATTCATTAAATCAATATTTCATTATTGGTTCGAAATTCATTGAGGTTATACTTTATAACCAATTTGAAATATGCATCTAAGCTTTTGTGTCCTCAGATGTACAGTCTGCTTCTTATAATTGAAGCATATATATTTTTTGGATGCTATGACTGGTGTTAGGAGGACCAACAAATCAACTTTATTGTGTAGGGACAAGGCCAGAACATAACGAGCACTTCCCTTGCTTTCCTGCAGGTCTTGGCCATAAAGGGCAACGTTGAGGCAATCCCCATTATGCTTGTGGGCAACAAGAGCGATGAGACCCTGCGGGAGGTGGAGACCAAGGATGGGGAAGCCCAGGCTAACCAGTGGAAGTGCGCCTTCATGGAGACGTCAGCCAAGACCAACCACAACGTCACTGAGCTCTTCCAGGAACTGCTCAACCTGGACAAGAAGAGGAACATGAGCCTCAACATCGACGGCAAGCGCTCAGGAAAGCAGTCCCGTGCAGAGAGACTGAAGGGCAAATGCAGCGTGATGTAAAACCAGAAGAGGACGAGGCCGAGGAGGACAGGGGAGTTTGAGGAAAAGAGAGAAAAAGGAGAAACGGAGGAAAGAATGAAGACGAGAGAATAGAGGGACTCATTATCAGTCAGACGGAGCAAAATAACTGGAGGACAACGGAAATCTCATCTTCTCATCCTCCTCTGATAGACTGGTGCATTCACAACCACAACTAAGCAGTTATTTTAAAGGAACATACAGGATTTCCATTTGGAGCGTTACATCCATTTGCATACTGCTAAAAGGAGAAATGGGGCAGACCGATGCAGGATATGGAGAAGCAATGGCGTGGGTCATTTAAGAATTACCTGAGTCAGTTGTGGAATTCTTCATCACCTGAGTGTCAAATCTTGGCTTAGGAGCTCATCACGACCTGGGACTGCATCCACGATCACAATCTGCAGCAACGCTTGATGAAAAACCTGGAGGATTCTGATCAACACAAAGCATTCAGCGTCCTCGCTCACTCCTACACCTCCCTCCCTTCTGCTCAGCTCACACTTTAACTTACCCCCCTTGTCATCCTGGCAACCTCATCCTTTGCATACTATAAAAAAAAAAAATAGAGAAATGTGATGTGTGCGTGTAACAGAGTCAACAATGTAATTTAAGCTCACCTATCTGGTAGAAACACGATTTTAAGAGACTGATGTGTCCATCACGCTACAAAGCACAGGACCCGGCAGTTTGAGACTGCCAGCATGAGCGACACGCATTACAGCAGCAAAATATACGACTCAGCTCCATTCAGGAGCCACACCTGAGGACTCTGATGTATATAAACATTGGATAATTCAATATATTCCAAATGATCCACACATGCCCCGCCGGAACGATTAAATCAGTCAAAGGAAGAGGTCGAAGTTCAAGTCATTAATGCTTCAAGTCATGAATCACTTCTGAAAGACTGGAAAAGGTCTTAATTTACTTAAACCACTCTTTAAAAAAAAGCTCTCTTATCGAAGCGACGGATTCAACGCAACAATCCTTTTAAGACTCATCTCATGTAGAATAAGTTGGACTCTGATCAAAACACGATACAGAAATGAAAGTCTGCCTTGTCGACCAGGACCATAGACTCAGATAATCATTGCCAAGCTGGTAAGACAAAAGCAAACTGGGATGGCTTTTTGTTTTGTGTTGTTCTGAGGTTGAGAATGTCTGTTTGCTTTGCACTTTTCATCTAACATTTCTCTTCTTTTGTCTTGTATTTTTTCTTGTTCGTTTTGCCTAATAATGATCTTCAAATTCATGTCAAAGAAGAAAAAAACAGAAATCCGCCCAAACAAAAAAGCACACAAAGAAGATGAATACATAAATGAAATAATGGAATGAATGTAAAAAAAAAAAAATAATAATAATAGAAAAAGAAGAAGAAAGAAGCTCCATGCTGCTTATTCAGTGTGACCTGAATCAGTAAATTTTTGTTCTCTTTGTTTGCTTTGGTCACATTACCTTTCATATGCTCATTGCAGGGCAACAGGAAACAGAATCACATCCATAAACACACACACACCTGCACATCATGTGCAAAAAAGATGCATTCATGCAGGAGTCCAAACAAAAAAGAGAAAAGGTCAACCGTGTAACATGAAGACAAACAGGGCTCGCTCAGCCTAAATGCCCTCACATTGCACTTTATATCGTAAACACACACACACACACACACTTAACGGTGATTTGTCATGTTTTTGCACATGTTATTTATTAATGATATCTACTTAAAAATATACTCCTGTTTCCACAGACTAGCTCTTATGTATGTCCAAAGTGCACGTATACACCTTTTTGTTTTTACACAGGAGCTCTGAAAAATTGTACACATTGTACACAGGAAAGCCAAAAGCACAATACTTTTTTACCAACATATCTATTTGTACATTTTCTTTCTTTCTCTTTTTTGTATATTGTTTATGATTTTCACCTTAAACCTTCATCAAATAGAACTGAAAAATGGAAGAACAATCCCATCATCATCACCACCATAGGTAGCTCTCCGTCTCGTTGTGAAGTGCTTCTTTTTTCTTTTCTTTTTTTTGTCTCGTATGTGGCACAGTGAGGTTGTGATTCTGCTGAACAACAGGGTATTGTGACGTGACGGCTTACGTGCCAATGGTGAAGTGTGCAAATGTGATGTGACCCCAAAAAGGATTGTAGACGGTACATTAGCATGGGCAGAGTAAAGTCAGATTATTCGTCTCCATCTCTCACGCGCTTTTAACTACAGTTTGGGTGGAGCATAATCTGCCCGTGTACTGTTTAATACCGAAAGACACAGATGATGCCCCCTCTTAAATGTGTATCCATCTCTCTGGAAAGCACAGCAGCTGTTTTTTATTTTGTTTTTTTTGTCTCTGTCTTTACGTGTGCAGCAGAATCAACAACTGGGCACTTTAGGGTGACATTTTACTTGAAGATTTGCTTAAAAAATCAGCAACACCTCATTAATTAGCACCATGTAAATGTCCCTTCTGCATTGTTCACGCCCCCACAAACTCACATCACAGAGGTGTAGTTAGTGTAAATAAGCATAACGATAGAAGAATTCGAAGTGTATACAAGCTTCAAGTAAGATGTTACCCAAGTAATGAAAAACTATACTGGCTCCTGTTGTTACAGTAGGAGGTTTGATGTTGCTATGTACTGTAATACACGGCTCATTATGTTGCTAATATTATATGTAACTATTTGACACAACACATTTTTCACAGATCAATCAGATACAGTAACAATAGCCAAATGTGAATATGTAACTAAAGGTTCCACTCCTTGGCTGTGACTTTTTTTTTTTTTTTGCTGACTGAATTCATGTTATCTGTTGTACTTTGCACTAATGTGAGGTCCTGTTAAACTCAAACATTTGCATTGTAAACCTACCCTTTACCTGTTAGGTGCCAGGGATGCTCACATGGGCTCTTTACTTTTATCTTTTTATTAAAAAAAAAAACAAGTTGCATATGATAATATTTGTTCTTAAGCATAAGATTTCAACAAGATGGAGTGATTTCTGCCATAATGTGTCCGTTTTAAGATTACAATGGGCTGGAACTTGGATCAGGCAGCTCTGCTCTGATCTGATGTGTAGCTACCAGCAGTGGTGGTGCACTCTGCATAAATATCAGCTTGACATGTCTGGTTGCTCCACACAAACGCCAGATTGCAAGCGCATGTTTGTGCAATCTGTTGTTCAGGAGACTGTCGCTGTTCATGTTCCTGTGTGAAATCTGATACAACAGGGAGGAGGCAAAAACAATGAGACAGCGTGCGGGATCAGTGTGCACAACAAGCTCGGAAGAGAGAGCGAGCTTTGCTATTAATAGAAATGGTGTGAGAGAAAAAAACAAGTGCTAATGCACAAACAGTGGCCTGTGTAGGATTCAGATGTTCTCTGCATATGGAGAGGTGTGCGTTTGTGTGTATCCCTTGAGTTTCTCGGTAGTGTGAGTTAATAATGGGCATGAATTAGGACAGACACCTCTCCTCCCATCGCTTGTCTCACCTTATATTTCAATGAAGAATATTCACTGCTGCTGCTGTTTGAATTTATGTGTGTGCTTGTGACCACGAGTGCATAATTGCATGTCGCAAAATCAGCCCCCAATTCGCCTCGCTTCACTCCGGCCTGCAGGAGTGTGAGTGTGTGCTGTTGTACCCTTCTTTAAAATGTCTGTCAGATGTTTGAAGCTTTCCTGTGGAGAATGCCTACACATTTCTGCATGAGTCATCCCTCATTGCTCAAAATACTTCTATACACAAACACACACACACAAGCATATAATACAGGCATGGAGGCTAAATAAATAAATAAATAAATGCATGCCTTCAGCTGCACACTCAAACACACAGACACATTTTACATTCACGCAGGCCACGTTCTCTCACTGGCTGTTCTTCAGAAGCAACACTAAGCACTCAACTTTCATACATCAGCTGTCCATCCCCTGACATTTTGACTGTCTTTCATATTCATCCCTTCAATTGTTTTTCTTTGTTTTCGTGTGTGTGTGTTTGTGAGTGGGTTGCTCGTGAACAGACTGGAGGCGGCTCACATCTGATTGTAGATAGTTGTAAATAGTGTGTAAAGAACTAAACATTTCAGAGATGAGAGAGAGTGCAGAGGAAAAGACGCAGAGGTGGGAGGGTGCTGTCACCTGCATTTGCTTCATATAACTGAAGTGTCCAATTAGATAAACACAGCAAAAGTACAAGCTTCATGCCAACTTCAAGTGCTCTGATAAAGTCATTGAACTTGATGTATCCAAAGAATTTAATTTGTTCTCTTCAAGAAAAACAGCAAATCTGTTTGTAACGATGGAGTTTATGGAAGCCCAAGGTGTTCAATATTAGATTAAATAAAGTGTTGTCATCATGTTACTGAATGCAGACCAAATCATATCACATTACCATGAAATTCTGTTTGGGTTTTTACAATTGTCTAAATTTGAACTTCTTGCTATTTAAAAAAAAAAAAAACATTTTTATATTCACTTTTTTCTAAATTAGTTGTTTTATGTCTGCTTCCACTGTTCCACTGAACATTGTGTTTTATAATGCCACTATCTATCACAAAGTATTTCTCTGTCAATCAAAACAGACAGCGTAGAGCTAGTAATATGATTGGCTGTCTGTCTAATCAGACTTAAGCAGCAGCCAATTACATAACAGAGTTCTGCTAGTTTATGATTTCTTTACTTCAATTCAATTGATGGAAAGAGGCACTATGAAATCACCGGGAAAATTGTTTTGTGACAACATGAAAGTGACAGAAACTGGAATTGAAAATTACCTTTAGAACTGCTGGAATAAAATCATGATGGAGTGAAAAACATATAATTCTTGTTTTTTGTAAAACTGGATTTTTTAATTAATGGCTTAAAGGCATAATGTCTTTATGTAATTCACGTGACTATTTAATCCAAAGTTTCATATACATTTATTTAATATTGAATACAGTTGGTCTCCATAGCTACAGCAAATTTTCAAATTTGGATTTGGACCCGGGGAGTTTCACCTCACTCACAGAGTTTTGTAGAGCTGAGTTAGCATGGTTCACATGTGTTCTTACATAGCAGGATGACAAGCACGGCCCTGAGATACTAGAAAAAGACAGTCATTAAAAACTGAATACCCATCAAAGGTTGTAGTGTTCTTGTCCAACTATTCATCTGTACCAATGAGGGCAGGTTAGAGTCCAACCGAGTCGAGCAAAGACGCAGAACATCTAAAGGAAATCAGTGTTTAAGGATGAGTGGAAACTGACCCGCTGACCTCTCTGGCCCACCCCTTTACATCTGCTCTGATCGCCTCAGATCCTCACAAGCTGTTTTTGTGCGGACACAGCATAAAGTGGGGCATATAGACTTTGTGGATAATGTAGTTTGGTACTATCCTGTTGCTCTGGCTCTTCATTCCTGCATGGTCCCTATTGGTGTTCCAGCCAGCATGAGAACAAGGACACAAACTGTGAATCATCTTTGTATTTTTTAAATAAATTCCGCAGCAGAAGTTCTCCGCTTCAGTTTTGCAAATGGTTTATTTCTTTTAAGCACTTATTGTTTTTTGTAAATTATTTGATTGTTTTTCTTTTTGTTCTGACTTTTTATTTTATTTGACTGATTATAATGTATAGATATTTATTCTAGCAATAGTCTTCCTATTAAGATATACTGTGCTGATGCATCCTCTGACTAACTGAAAATAATATATATAAATATATATATATATATAGATGATAATAATAATCAAAACTGCAAAATGATTTTCCTAATAAAATTGTGAACTGAGAAGTGTGTCTTGTCGTTCTGTGTATGTTGACTCAGCCTTATTGGTGCAGGAGTTGCTTACCAAAATGATCACTTTTAGCCATGCAAACATAACGATGACAGATACATCAGACAGCAAATATTATTGGGCTAATATGGGTACATAAAGTCCATTGGTGTCTGTTTCTTTTTTAATTATGCTATGGAATAAAAAAATCTCCACACTAAAAAAAAAAACAATTTAGATAACAGTTTTTTTGGGTGATTTAAGGTCCTCATCCTGTCATTTCTGCAGCAGCGTCTGCTCTGACTCCATTGATTACAATTCTTACATCAGTGTTGAGCACGTTTAGCAGAGAATCACAGCTGAGAAGACTGTGGCCCATACTAGAATCAACTGATATGTATGATAATGCAATGAAGTTATACTCTATAGAGCATCCTTACCTTTGCAAATTCATCTGTGCAAAATTGGTCCAAAATATGTAGCCTACTTTTGGGTTTGATGCAAGTTGGCAAATGTTAGCATGCTAATTGGGGGTGAGGGATTTAGATCCTAACTTAACTGAAAATGATCAATGTCCTTCCACACTGTCCCTTGATAATTAAATAAATTAAAAAATAGTAGGCTATCAGGTGAATGCATTGCTGTAACAGCAGACAGTGTGTTAAGTAGTGTAATTAATAGAGCAAGAGTATTTTTGCTTGACAAAAACGTGATGACATCACTTCTAAATCACCCAAAGCACTACTGCATCATGTTCCTATACCTGCACATAAGAAAACATTCGTTTGATAACTATAAGACAAAGGCTATTTTAATTATGAGCATGATAGCACGCAAACGATTGAGTGCACATCAGCTTTAGGTAAAGCATAAAAACAGCCATGCCGGAAAGATGTAGACTATTTCTAAACTAATTCTTGTGTTCTTGTGGCCGAATGCACACCGCATACACAACAACACATCAGGGATTCACACAAACACAGATAGCCTATGATGATGCGCTCACACAGCCTCCCACGCCTCCTTTCACTCTCACTTCTCTCTTAACCCTCTAACATCTGCTTGGGGATGCTGTACCCGGCGCGGTTGCCATGGAGGCGCGCTGACGTTGACGATGGTTGTCGCATCAGAGTGTGGTGTGACCCTGGTGGGGACAGAAATGCGTAACGACAGGCAGAGGTCTCTCAGGCTGCTGCTGCTGCTGCTGGAGTGTGTAACAACGCACAATGACCAACTGCCACCCCCAAAGGCCAGTGTGGCAACCCCTTTGATCTTAATGAGCTAATCCACGTGCACATACACGCACGCACACTCACTCACTCACACACACACCACATGTGCTTCTAGACATGTAGGAAAGACTTTGTATAAGTGTAGCTTGCCAGCACACATTTAATCTCAGAGAAAGTGTGAGGACAAAAATCTGTGTGGATGGGTGGGGGCGCCACCTTTGTGAAAGCAACTTTTAGTCGTGACTCATGACTCATGGGCTTCCACCCGTCGTTAAATTGAAGAGCTCTGCTGTAGTAGCCTACACTGTAAATACACTGCCTCTTCAACAACAACACACACACACACACACACACACACACACACACACACACACACACACACACACACACACACACACACACACAAAAGGGGATGGGTAGATAAATGGACTGGAATGGTATAAGGAACGACAAATGGAGCAGGGACAAAAAGAAATGGAGCTAAAAGGTGAGGAAACGAGAGACAAATGTATAGGCATCAGCAAAATTTCACACTCTAAAGGAAACGAGGCCAATGCGGTTCTCTGTGGGGGTTATAAATAGCTCGCCTATGGTTATAATAAGCAGCTAAAAGGTTTCCATACAGCCAGGAGGAAGATATGGCTGCACGAGTGTGAATGCCTACGTGCGTCAAAGCAGCATATCCAGACGCATCTCCATCTATGTCAGCATCACTCAAAAACAAAGAGCTGCTGAAAAATAAGATGCAGTTCTTACACATCAGACCTTTAGCCCCCTTCACCGCAAAGGAAACCGTCCACAGCCAATAATCATGCAGCGAATGCAGCACTTTCAGCTCTGTGTGGAGGAGTGCAGGACTAGGCTATATCGGTGCAAACGCAGGATGCGCCGGGCCTGCCAGGAATAGAAGGAGCGGCCCACACCTCCCAGGAGGAGACGGAGCTTCAGCCGGGACAATGGCGCTCCCGTGTGGCTGGAACGCGTAATTGACGCATGAGGAAAACAATTTTTTTTAATCCTGAGTAGCCTATTAAACAGATCCAGATGTGGGATGATGTGCACGAAAGAGGGAAAATACACCACTTACAGGCGGAATAGGTGTGGAGCTAATGCTGTAAAGATTTAAATGATTTTGTTCCAATATTGAAGAATAAAAAGCACAGATCCACGTTCTTTCTTTAAACAATAATAAAGACAATTAACTTTTACTTTTTCTGTTTTTAAAGATAGCCAATACATCTTAGTAAAACACTAGTATTCATACACTCTGGTCTTTTAGCAACATGTCACTTGTTGATCACACAAAATAACATGCAGGATTTGAAATACAAAAAAATCACAACAGCTTTAGGCTACCATCTGAGAAACGTGTTCGTGCATTTAGGGGAAACATTAATACATCATATATTACATTAAAAAGAGATGTAAAGAAAATGTTACAGACATCTTAAATACAAAAAAAAACATAGAAACTTATTAATTATTTAATTATTACCCTGAAATCTGAGCCAATAGATAATATTTTAATAATATTAATAATTGATCATACATTTGAGATTTCATTTTTCGATGTTAGGAAAGGTTCATCTTAACCGCTGAGCCAGTGTTTTACTGATAAAGTTTTAAAATAGAGCTTTCAATGGAATATTTTTGACTTCATTGTTAAATAAAGCTGAATACACACTGATTAATATTGAATGAGGCTTTCATTCATGGTAGTGTAAGTCATTCCTGACATCCAAGTATTCACAAGGATGTCCCTTTTAATAAAAAAAAAAAAAAAAAAGAATTTATGGGTCCTGACAGCGAAGCAACCAATACAAACAAGACTTAGCCTAAATTGAAGCGAAATGTGTATTTTTGTCTATTTTTTTATGAATAATTACTGGCTCCCATTTATAAGACATTTGTGAATCATAAACATTTTAGGTAGTCCCTGTGTTAAAGGTGCTGTCACTGTATCGACCTGAGGGAGGAGAGGAGGGAGGGAGGGGAGGGGAGGGGGGTAGAGGAGTGGACAGACACTGGTAGCGGAGGGGGAGGCGTTTGGCTCGGCGAAGACGGGGAGTGAACGAGCAGAGAGGGTGAGAAACCAGCGGATCTGGCCCTTTAAATCACCAATACAGCGCATTCGGAGGTGAGTTTGGAGATATTCGGGTATTTTTTTCCTCACTGTGTACTATAATTGTAACGCGTCTGTGCGCCTCTGCAACCCCGGCTTCCCGTCACCGAGGGCGGCTGCAGCGGAGAGGGGCTTCATCGGTGTCACGAATCCGGTTTTCCCCAGCCCTTTGCCGGCAGAGAGGGTGGGGAGGACCGGGGACAGGGTCATTGGGAGATTTCCACCAGCTTGACTGGACTCTGAGGACACACGAGGCACTTGTGTATATATATATATTATATATATATATATATATATATATATATATATATATATATATATTTATATATATATATAAAACCTCTGGATTATATGTGCCGAAGTAGGCCGATCAATTTGCATAATAGCGGAACATAAAGGCATGCGCTCCAGTCTCGTGCCCATTGTCGCTGGATGGGTTCATATTGGCTACTGGAGCCTCAAAACATGTCACCACCCTGCTCCCACGGCTAACAATCAGGGCCTGTGTCCAGACCTGAAGCGGTTGGCTATAGTCCGGTCGTCACTTGGGAAAATATCTCTGGCTTTGATATGTGCACAAGGTCTGCCTGTGCCTGCGCGCCCGTGCGTTTGTGTGTGTGTGGATAGCCATGGGAGAGAGAGGACATGCTGTTCTATCCATCAAAATGCCCGCATTGTGTTTTCTCACGGTAGAGCAGTGAGCAGGGGCCTATCGCGGAGGACATGCAGGCCTGATCAGCGCTCAGCAGCTGCGAGAATCAATATGGATTGATGCATTTTTGCGCGTCTTGGAGGGCGGCTGCGGGCTCTCTGATCTGGCTGGCTGTTTGGTTGGTCGGGGCCTTGCAGCTCTGGTGATGGTTTTTTGATCCAGGCTAAATCAGATGACCAGTCTACAGTATGGGTTTTGTGTCTGTGCATCGCCTTAAGCAAATGTTTTCAATCTTAGGAGGTGTAGGAGGAGAGAGATCTGACTGTGGAAGGGCAGAAACTCATATTTGTGCTGTTTTTTGGGTTGTTTTTCTTTTGCAAGAGTACGGCTTCCTTCTCTCAGCGCCAAAACAGAAAGTTTAAAAAAATCAACAGGCTGAAGAATTTAAAACAGCAGATTTCTATTAGGCTGCTACTGAACAGAGACATAAGGGTTTTTTTTAATAGTCTGTATATTTTATTCTACTGTCTCTGCCTGTTGCCACTGTTCCCTATTTATAGAAAAAATATGCAAACTAATGTGTTTGAGTCTTGTTTGAGATGGATGAAACAGCTTGCAAACAGAGAGGATAAAAGTGCTGTCACTTTGTTTCAACATTTGCTCGGTTGAAAAGTAAATGTGATACTTTTATGTTTAGAGGGATTATATTTGGAGAATTTGACAATAGGCCTATAAGAGCACACACACACAAATACTTTGATAAGCCTTTGTTATGACAGGTGTTGATTCTGTGGGGTTTTACAGGTGGTAGTGCTTGGTTTTAATCCTGGTTTTAATTGTAAGGAGTTGTAGTTTATGCTCATATCTGTTATGTTCTGTTGGCTGTCAGTGATGCTGTATGCAGAGTGATTTGGGACACTCCTCCAACCATGACATATAATGAGCGTGTATATTGTGATGGAAGGTTGCGTGTGTGTGTGTGTACATAGCAAACACATTTTAGAGACATCC